AGCCCTTGTTGAACCCTTAACATGGCCAGCCCTTGTTGAACCCTTAACATGACCAGCCCTTGTTGAACCCTTAACATGACCAGCCCTTGAACTCTTAAGCCCTTGTTGAACCCTTAACCTGATCAGCCCTTGTTGAACCCTTAACGTGACCAGCCCTTGTTGAACCCTTGATATAACCAGCCCTTGTTGAACCCTTAACGTGACCAGCCCTTGTTGAACCCTTAACTTGACTAGCCCTTGTTGAACCCTTAACGTGACCAGCCCTTGTTGAACCCTTAACATGACCAGCCCTTGTTGAACCCTCAACTTGAAAAGCTCGTTTTGAACCATTCTGGGTTCAAAACTTTTTTGAGTTAATCTCACCCTGCATGAATATTTCAACAATTTAATTTCACGTTGAATTCCAGACATAGCAAAAGTAAAAAATTACATACCTTCATTATTACCTACTGATAATTGTTATTGTGATAATCATCTCACTAATTTCAGAAACAACGCGTGAATTATGAGCTTGCGAACATATAATAATGAGCTTTGTACAATGAATTGAATTTCAAATCCAGGTAATATTATCTATAATATCATATAATCTAAAATGTTTACTTATGTTGACAAGTGTACACACTGAAGATACTCCATGCGTTGATTAATATCAATTAATAACTGATTAATATTGAACAAATCCTAATGTATTATTTTAAGGAATAATTAGATATCATTTAAAAAAAATAATAATAATTAAGAAAAAAACTATAATTAGAAGATTTTTTGATGTTCAGGTCTGGTGCTGCCGGGTCTGACCCCCCAGACCCCGGCCGTGGACCCGGCGAACCTGATGGTGTACCAGCAGAACCTGCAGCGGGCCTACATCCAGTCCGCCGTGGCCCAGAACATCCAGATCCAGCAGCACCTTATGGCCCAGAACCAGGCGTTACAACAGCTGCTTACTCCGAACTTGCCCGTGAGTTATAAGTGGGTCATGGGGCAAAAGTGGGTCATGGCACTCAAGTGGGTCATGGCACACAAGTGAGTCATGGGAGAAAAGGGGGTCATGGGACAAAAGTGGGTCATGGGAGAAAAGTGGGTCATGGGACAAAAGTGGGTCACGGGACAAAAGTGGGTCATGGGACACAAGTAGGTCATGGGACAAAAGTGGGTCATGGGACACAAGTGGGTCATGGGACACAAGTGGGTCATGGGACACAAATGGGTCATGGCACACAAGTGGGTTATGGCACAAAAGTGGGTTATGGCACAAAAGTGGGTCATGGGACAAAAGTGGGTCATGGGACAAAAGAGGGTCATGGGACAAAAGTGGGTCATGGGACAAAAGTGGGTCATGGGACAAAAGTGGGTCATGGGACACAAGTGGGTCATGGGACAAAAGTGGGTCATGGGACACAAGTGGGTCAGGGGGACACAAGTGGGTCATGGGACAAAAGTGGGTCATGGGACAAAAGTGGGTCAAGAGACAAACGTGGGTCACCGAATTATCCGAATAATGGGATGGCGTTAGTCCCTGATAGCGACTAGTTCGGCCTAGTTTGAAGACTAGTTTGATGTGATGTGATGCAATCGACAAACTCTTATGAAAAATTCATTTTTTCGCTGCCTGAAAGAAAATATGGAACATAGCATCCTTTAATTTTTTATTTCAGTAGCCTTCCCATTATTCTATTTCCTTATTTTCTCTTTTATTTATACTTGACTTACTCAAAAATTTGTATAGAGCAAAATGATATTCATCATGCATGACAAGTTTTTAGGTGAATGTGAATAAAATTTGACTTATTGCGGTGCTTCATAATCTGTCCTGAGTGCCAGTCATGCCTGTGGATTTCACGGACCAGGTTCAAAAAAGTACCAAAATTTTCTCCAAAAAAATTTACCTGGGTAAGAGTTTTTTTTTCATGCATTTCTAACGGATAAATTTAGCGATTATCTTCTATGTATGACTTGCTAATATGCCAAGAAAAATACGAAGAAACTTTGTTTAAATTGCGATGCACTTTTTGCCTTTGTGTGTGCCATCCTGACCCACCTTGGCCCGGCAAGGCGCAGCAGAATGCAGCGCCTTGCCGGGAGCAGAAAATGTACAGAAAATGAGCAGAAAATGTGTCGCTAGTTGGACAAAACGACCACTAGATTATTTTGAGTGTATGCATCGATTGAACAATTGATCCTTATTTCCTTCCTTGTATCTGCCTGTCACTTCTTGCCTTCACTTAGCCTCTGAAGGCACGTCAATTTCTACCACAGCACACTAACTTGGGGGGCTTTAGTGCCCTGGGCGGACTTCTTCCGCTATCTGGAGGGTTGCCCTTTGCCATGCAGCCCTCAGCCTACCAAACCTCAGCCCTTTTGCCTGGGTTGAGCCCAGGCATCAATTCAACCCTGGGTGGGGCTTTCAACGCCGGGCTTAACCCTCTCGGCGGAGCTGGCATCTTGGACGCTTCAAGCCTAACAACCACCGTGCAAAGCAATGTTGTTAATCAGAACGGCAATGCATCCAACGCCCTTTTCAAGCCCATTCAAGTGAACACTAAACTCAAAAATAGACTCCCGACCAACAGCCAATCGAGTTCTGCAAAGGACTCCCAACTCATCAGTCCTTCCGATAGCGAAGGACCAGAACGCAACAAGAGCCAAAACTCGGCGCGTCCTACTCCTACCTTGGAGCCAAGTTACCTCGCCAGCGTAGATCCTAATTTCCATAAGAAAAATAAAAAACTTCGCGTCAACCTCAACTCGTATTCCGCGAAAAAGATTTCCAACTCTTCGTCAGATTCTGGAGGGAACTCGAGCAAGGTATCTTCCGAGGACCAAGTTACCCCTTGTCCAATCAGCTTTTGCCCTTATCCAACAACACAGCTTCTAAGGGATCAAGGACTGCATTCCATTAACCTTATCGCATTCCCCGTACCATCCAAGCTACACTTTGTACGTAGAACTCAACTTCTTATAGTTTAATACGGTATTAATTGTTTTCTGTACAGTATCCTCCACAGCTTTCGTTTCTTGGTACGGGATGACATGGGAAAGCAGTCGATTTCGAATCTTCGAGTGACATGACTGTCGACATGAATTGACATTTGACATATTTCCACATGAGACATGCCTCTTGACGAACACAATGATTCTGCAAGATTATAAAGGAAGTCTCCCAAATTAAAATCCATTTCTTGACACGTACTCATACTTGACGATGAAGACCATGTAGAGTTAACGTTGACGTTGAGACCGAAGTCTTGCCCATCTCTGAATGCCAGTTGCTTTCCTGGGGCCGTACTATTAAAAGTCGCTTAAATACGCGTACGTAGCGGCCAAAGTACACGTAGCGGCCAAAGTACACGTAGCGGCCTAAGTAAACGTAGCGGCCAAAGTACACGTAGCGGCCTAAGTACAAATAGCGGCCTAAGTACACGTAGCCGCCAAAGTACAGGTAGCGGCCTAAGTACAAGTAGCGGCCTAAGTACACGTAGCTTCCTAAGTACACAGAGCGGCCTAAGTACACGTAGCGGCCTAAGTACCCGTAGCGACCTTAGTACACGTAGCGGCCTAAGTACAAGTAGCGGCCTAAGTACACGTTGTGGCCTAAGTACACGTTGTGGCCTAAGTACACGTATCGGCCCAAGGACACGTAGCGGCCTAAGTACACGTAGCGGCCTCAGTACACGTAGGGGCCTAAGTACACGTAGCGGCCTAAGCACACGTAGCGGCCTAAGTACACATAGCGGCCTAAGTACACGTAGCGGCCCAAGCACAAGTAGCGGCCTAAGTACACGTAGCGACCTAAGTACACGTAGCTTCCTAAGTACACGTAGCGGCCTAAGTACACAGAGCGGCCTAAGTACACAGAGCGGCCTAAGTACAAGTAGCGGCCTAAGTACATTACACAGAGCGGCCTAAGTACAAGTAGCGGCCTAAGCACACGTAGCTTCCTAAGTACACGTAGCTTCCTAAGTACACAGAGCGGCCTAAGTACACAGAGCGGCCTAAGTACACGTGGCGGCCGAAGTACACGTGGCGGCCTAAGTACACGTAGCGGCCTAAGTACACGTAGCGGCCAACATTTAGTCTGACTAGTATTCAGGTTTAGCTTGATAAGCCGTCAGTTATTGGCTGACGGAGTTACGAACCCGTAACCATTCATGATGTTGCGGCTCCAGGGCTACTTGGATTTTGGAGGATGGAATGGATCTTGGCCCATACTTTCAAAAAAAGTTAAGAGATTGTAAGTTCATCAGCCAATCATTGACGGCCTTTCAAGCCAAATCCACCAATCACAGACAAGAAAATAGATCGTTATAGTTACTAACGTTCACTTAGCGAATTTTGAAAGTATATACGTGTATATGGCCCCCTGGTGTCGAAATCCTGAAACCTGTCCTCTCATGTATAAAAATTATAAAAGTTATATGTTGTATTGGAACTGGATCATTTATTGCCGTGAAAGCCGCGCATTTCTGACCAACTTTTTATGCTCTTTTTAGCTTCTGAATAAACTTTTTACCTTTCCCTCCTTCAATTATTTATTAACGTCCTTAACATGACATGAATGGTGTTTAAGCAGCAATATTGTTAAACCTTATATGGACATTTCTGTATTACGGGAGAATTTTTATCGGTTATTATTATTATTATTAATCTTATTATTATTATTAGCTTAAATATTATTTCTGTGTCTGTGTCATTTTGCGTTTTCACTTATTGACATTACTATTTATGGCTTGCGACATCTGCGCTACGTTTTTTTTAATTTTTTGTATGATGAAAACAGCGGAAACTTTATGTAATTAATTCCATATGGCTTTCAATATATTTTTTCATTTTACAGGTTTTTGTATAATTATATGTGCTTATATCTTCACTAAGTTTCTGGTATTTCACTTAATGCCTTTCAATCTCATTATGTGAGTGCAATTATACTTGTACAAATTTCTAAGTATTATTCAAGAGATGCTGACTTGTCTAACTTTAGCTTTACAAGCCCATAACCACTGTAAAAAAACACGACTTAAATAATTTATTATGCATCGATTTTTAATCTGTAAACTTCACCCTGCAATTACTTCAAACATGCTTCTTCTCTGTGAAAAAAAAAATTAATTTAACTCCTTTCAACGATAAAAATGTCATTTAAAAATAAAATCTAATAAATAATTTTTCTAAACAAGGTCTCTATTGCGCCATCTAACCGTTTCTGCTGGATGAGGTTCTTTGACCGAAGAATAATTTAAACAATTAATCAGACGTTATCACAGGATAAAATCAGGGAAAACTAACTACCTTATTAAACTACCTCATTAAATGTGAAGTAATGTCAATTATCTAATCTAATGTCTAATGTATGATGACAGTACTTCTATGGGAGAGAAAATACCAAAAATAATAGACCTTTCAAGGTCCCAATAACTTTGAATTTTACAAGGGGAATAATACGCATTATTTTATTATTATTAATATTATTAAACTGTTAAACGTAAATTTTGGCAGGTGAGTTTCCAGGAACCCGAACGCGCCGACCTCTGGAGCAGCGAGAAGGCGACCGTAGGGAACCACATGACGTCATCCGGTTTACACATGACGTCATCCGCCCTTCACATGACGTCACCAGGCATTCATATGACGTCACCAGGCATCCATATGACGTCACCAGGCATTCATATGACGTCAGCCGGGAACCACATGACGTCATCAGCCTTCACTCCAGGGGGCGGGGTCACCATCTCCCCCCCTCCTCCCCTACTCCCCGTCGGGGCCACGTTGCCTGCAGGTGCGGAAAAAAGCCATTTCCTAGCCACTGAGTCCGGTATTTGAAAATTCTTATCTCTGCATTCCTCGAAAAATTACCGTGAAATTGTTTTACTGGCATTTCAGTGGCCGACCGATATATGGAAAAACACCGTGTCGCCGTTTTTCAAACTTAACACCAGAAACGCGTAAATCATTTTTTAAAATACGGCTAAACTGTTTTTTCACAGGGAGGTCAGCCACAAGAACGCCGGTTTTAATGTTGCTTCACGTTAATTCCAAATAGAGTAGTTGGTGACGACTTGATTCATCGAGCTTACTATTCAATATATCATTGCTTCTTAAGGCTAGTATTGAGAACTGTGAAGCCTGGGACAGGCTTCCTATGGAGTTCTTCGCTAATAAAGCCGAACTTTATTTACTCCTCACGTAAATGAGATGACGATATGAATATCTCCATGCCAATCTAGCTATTTATTTAAAATCCGTGGAAAGGAAGAAAAAATATATAAACTTTGTATAACACCAGTTATATGATGGAAGATAAAGTTGTATTTCGATGATAATTGAACCGATGATTTACCGAAATTTTTGAGACGTCAACGAGCAGTACTATTTTTTCTCTATCTGAACGGTACTTAATACATGTCTGAATCAACATCTATTTTGTAAATATTCACTGCCAAAAAATTTTTTCTTCACTGCTAAATAGGAGTTTTCACATTTTCTTTTGAAGCTGCAGTTATGATGATGGAGTCTAACCTAAACTCTCCAAATGTACGAATCTGCATCGTGAAAGTTCAAATGTAGATTTAGTTGTTAATGAATATCTACAAAACTGTAAACAGTAGCGTCAGTAAAAAAAAATATTCTCTTTTTCTGTTCGATGCATTATTGCTCGAGTCGATGATTATTCTAATCAAGAAGTATTATTGAAATACCTGTAATATCTGTAATATCTTCAAATGTATTTAGTTGTTAACGAATATGTGCAAAAATAAAACCTGTGGCGTCAGTAAAAAAAATATTCTGTTGTTTTTTTCGAGTCATTATTGCTCGAGTCGATGATTATTCTAATTAAGAAGTATTATTGTGATTTCTGTGTGTTTGTGTTCATTATGAAGGTAATTTGGTTCTCAGGGTTGAGTTTCTCGAGAGCCGCAGCGGCGTCTTCGCCGCTACACGAGCTGGAGCTTCAAGAGGAGCGACATCAACGCTACCAACACCAACAACATCAACAACATCAACAACATCAACAGCATCAACAACATCAACAGCAACATCATACCCCCAGCAACAACCGTGCTAAAGTAAGAATTAGTATTAGAAACTTGATGCTTGAGCACCAATCTAACGCTATTGTTTCAGTCTAAATTAACGAACGCGCGTGTAAAATTCCAATCCTAATGTATTTCCTAATGCAATTGTACAATATCAATCAATTGTACACGTCAAATTACACTCTTGTACAACTTTAAGATATTGTGTGTCATTGTTCGCGTTGTTCTTTCCATTGTAAAGTTTACTTTTTTTTCCGTATTGTTCAGAATAAAGCAGTAAAAAAAACATTCATTGAATGGTCCAATATACCGGATTCAGAAGATATTTGAAATGAAAGATATAAAAAGAAATGTTGAAAAAGCTAGAAATATGTTAATAATGTTAAAAAAGATAGATAGAAAGAAAGATATAAAAGTAATATTATGAAATATTCACATGGAAAGAAATGTTAAAAAAATGAATATGTTAATAATGTTAAATTAATAAATGTTAAAAAAGAAAATAGAAAGAAAGATATAAGATATATTGTGAAATATCCACATGGAAAGAAATGTTAAAAAAATGAATATGTTAATAATGTTGAATTAATTAATGTTAAAAAAGATAGAAAGAAAGAATGAAATATTCACATAGATTATAGGAGTTAATTTGCATGCAGGTTCCCTATGATCTGCACTCCCCCGGCGCCGCCCCCTCCCTGTCTCCCCCCGCCGCCCCCAAGGATGCCCCCTCCTACCCTGCGGGCCACGTCCCCCCACCTCCCCCCATGCCCACACACCTCAACCAGGGGGTGAGTTAACTGTGCTATTCCTACCTGAAGCGTGATAACAATGCTATTTCTACCTGAAATGTGATAACAATGCTATTCCTACCTGAAGTGTGATAACAGTGATATTCCTACCTGAAATGACATGACGGTGATATTCCTACCTGAAATTATATAACAATGCTATTCCTACCTGAAATGACATAAACAATGATATTCCTACCTGAAATGACGTGACAATGATATTCCTACCTGAAACAGTAAATATGAAAATTTCACAATTAAAATGCAAGAGACAGCCTAACCATGGCCACCATTCCCCCCATTCTTGCCCCACCAAGTTGACAAACTCAACGCCTCCTACGAGTTTATAAGTAATATAATCAACGGTGTAAAACGTTTATTTTTACCTTAATGGCTATATTAACAATAAAAATTATGCCACAGTAACGAATAATGACTTTACCGCTTAAATACTAATAATAATAATAATGATAATGATAATTATAATAATTATAACAATAATATAATATAATTCACACCGCTCCCCGGCAGGAGGTGTCTCCAACACAACATCCAGGTGCATGTCTGCTCTCATGTTTAAGTTACGTCATCTATCTTCTTTATTATAATAATAATTACAATAATACTATACTATAATTCCCCCCCGGCAAGAGGTGTCGCCAGGGTCCTATAATAATAATAATATAATATAATCCCCCCCCCGGCAGGAGGTATCCCCAGGGTCCTACATGGACCCCTACCAGCGCGCCAAGACCGTCAGGATCGGCAAGTGGCGGTGGCCGCCGCCTAAGGAGGAGCTCGACGCGTCCTTCATGCACTTCAAGATGAAGAATAAGCGAGCCGGGGAGTCCAGGGTATGGCATTACCTTCATTACCCATATTACCTTCAGTTCTCCCATTGCTTTCATTATCGTATTACCTCCAGTTCCCGCAATATTTTCATGTCCTTCATTACCTTCATTACTTTCATTACCTTAATTACCTTCATTACCTTCATTACCTTCATTACCTTCATTACCTTCATTACCCATATTACCTTCAGTTCTCCCATTGTTTTCATTACCGTATTACCTTCAGTTCCCGCAATATTTTCATGTCCTTCATTACCTTCATTACCCCCACCATCTTCATTCCTAGCTCTCATTACCTTCATTTTACTCATAACGTTAATATCCCTCATTACCTTAATTTCCTTTATTGCAATAACGCTGACGTTAATGAGAAAGCTAATTAGTAGTCACATTACCGCGACATGTTGGTTGATCAGGGTGACGGTCAGCGGAGCGTCAGCCACGACGACAGCGGCCTGATCGAGTGGGAGGAGTTCGAGGTGGCGGGGGCCCCGGGCCCCAGCAAGGGGGACCCGCGGGCCAACAAGCAGGCCACGCAAGGTGAAGAAATTGTAAACAAAAGTGTTTTAAGTAAAAAAATAGTATTAAAAAAGTGTTTTTATTTATTAGGTGATATTAAAAATAATGATAAAGTGTTTTTATTTAAATAGTAAATAATAATATAATAATAAATTGAATAATAATAATAGTAAATAGAGTAAAAAATAATAATAATAAAGTGTTTTTATTTGTTAGGTGAGAGTAAATAATAATAATAATAATAATAATGTGGTTTTATTTGTTAGGTGAGAGTAAAAAAATAGTAGAAAAAGAGTTATTTTTTTTGTTAGGTGTTAGTGTTATCAAATAATATTTTGGGCTGAGTAATTTACGAGCAAAAAAACAAGGCGGTTTTTTGGTGCGGGTGAATGTATAGAAGTTTTGTAAAATGATTTCACAAATACTAAAAGAAAGATTGGAAAAAATTTAAAAATTAGTTTGTGAATGTAGTGAATATAAGGTATGTGCGTAAATTTTTTTTACTTAAATGTATAAACTTTAATTACAAGGTATATACGTAATTATTGTGTAAGTTTAATATAAATATATTAATTTTTCAAGTTTAAGGTAGGTATTTATGTAAATTATTTCGGTAGCAGGCGAATATTGCACGTAGTTTTAATATAAATATATTAATTTTCCAAGTATAAGGTATTTATTTAAACTATTTCGGTAGCAGACGAGTATTGTAAGTTTAATGTAAATATATCAATTTTCTAAGCGTAAAGAAAATATGTAAATTATTTCGGTAGCAGGCGAGTATTGCAACTTTGATATAAATATAGTAATTTTTCAAGTTTCAGCTATTTATTTAAATTATTTGGGTAGCAGGCGAGTACCAAAACTCTTCGTACAAGTCGCCTGCCGACGAGGCAGACAGCGTACAGCGCGCGTTCGACGCGCCCCTGCGCAACATCTCCCGCAGCAGCATCAACATGACGCGGGCCCAGTCCCAGGCCCAGACTCGGGCCCAGTCCCGTGCTAAGACCTTCGAGGGGCCCGCGGGACGTGACCCTGTAGGGTCCCGCAGACGCCGGGACTCCTGGGACAACCCAATGCCTGACGAAGGCGACGTGGTCCCGAACGGACACGACGTTTGGGACAATAGCCTGCATCAGGACGAGGAAAAAACCGCCGCCGGTATCGGGAAATTGAAGATCTCGCGCGAGATGAAGGCTAAACTCGAGGCCCTCACCTCGACGCGGCCTAACAGGTGCGATGGCGGCCTCAATAATAGAGATTTATTTATTATTCACTAAAATAGCCGTAGGTAAAACTTGGTAAAATGTTAAAGGACACTTTCGAGCTAAACTGAAGTATTCATGTACAAAATACTTGTGAACACTTATGCATGATAGAATATAAATTAGGGGCTCTTTAACATCAAATCATTTATCTTTATAAGCCTCGGAGCTTTGTTTGTTTATACAATTAAAGTTTAATCAATGCAATGTGCAATGTGTAGGTAATTAAATATATGTTGTATTTAATATCTGTGGCCAATTATATATGTGATAGTAATTATATATATGTTGTAATTAAATATTTGTGGCTAATTAAATAGGTATGTGTTGGTAATTAAATATGTGTAGGTAATTAAACATTAACAACAGTCGTTAGTTGGAAAGTCCTTGAATGGCATGCTTTTGAATTTATTTCGTGTCCCAATTATTGTCCCGTGTTTGGGCCCACACACCCACTCGTCCCAATTATTGTCCCAAAATCAGGGCCCAAAAGTCCGGCCTGGGTATCGGTGGTCCCAGTGGGGACCCAAAGCGTGGGCCCAAGAAGCTAGAGGCCCACCGACGCCTGATGCTGCAGCAGCAGCTCGCTGGGGACAAGTGGGACACGCTGGACTCCGTCAGGCGGGTCGTGCCCCCGCCCCCCGTGGCCCCACCCGGCATGGCGGACCCGCGCAGGCCCCCCGGGTCCCCGGCCCCTTCGGTCTCGTCCCTGGGTCCGTTGAATTGTTGTGTTGAATGCTGTGTGTTTTAAATTTTTTGTATGGTGAATAATTGCTGTGTTGAATACTTTGTGTGGTGAATAATTGCTGTGTTGAATACTTTGTGTGGTGAATAATTGCTGTGTTGAATACTTTGTGTGGTGAATAATTGCTGTGCTGAATAATTTGTGTGGTGATTTCTTTCCGCTAGAATTCTTTGTATATTGAATGCTTCGTGTACCGAATAATTTATGTTGAATACTTTTCTTCATTGAATGCTTGATGTGGGACGATATGTGTTTTTGTATTATTGTGTATTTTTGGGTATAAGTTTGTGTAAAGTTTTGACTTGAATATTTGCACGAATTTGACATGTTATGACGTAAGCGTGTTTCGTCTCAAAAGTTATGTCGTTAATAAATCACATGTACAATCTTGAAAATTTATGTGATTCCTAAGGCCTGATATTCCCCGTATTAATTTCCTTAAGTATAGAGCATAGTTCTGTAGGCATGCTAATATCGTATTAATTTCCTTAAATAGAGTATAGATCCTAAACCATGCTAATCCCCGTATTAATTTCCTTAAGTAGAGCATAGTAATTTACACAATTATTTTTCAGTCGGGCTCCTCATTAAGAGCGAGGCCACATAATGAAGTTGCACTAATCCATTGAATGTTAATTAGTTCACAGCTAGACATTATAGTATTTTATGTTTCGTCTCGGCAATTTGTTTTTATTCAGAAATATTTTCTTAATTTTCAAAATTCACAATAACTGGGAAAACATTTAATCGACCTGCCGAAAATATGTTATATATATAAAAATGAAAATATATAAAGAAAATATATTATTTGTATAAATATATGAAAATATATAAAATATGGATAGCCGTAACCGTCAAAAAGATTTTATATTTAAAGTACGATAAGATTTTCCTTTTTTTAATTTTCCATTTCTTGATTAAATTTGCATGTCAAATATTCAACAGCATGATATTTACCCACAAATTTGAATTTCTTAATAAATTTTCTAATTCATCTTTAAACTTACCTTCCACTTTGCAAAAATGCGCAATTTTATTTCATATATTTTTATTGTTAAACTAATTTTTTCAATTTTTTAATTAAGAAAAAATTTAATTATTACTCGAATATTATTTATATTTACAGGGAGCTCAGCCGCCATCCCCCAACCCCGCTCCCCACCCCCCTCCATCCAGCCCGTGGGGGGCTACAGGTCTGCCCCCCACAAGACCCCCAGCTACAGACCAACAGACCGCAACAGCTCATTCAACGCGCGCGTTGACAAACTTCAACACTTTGAACGTGAGTCTCTTTTTTATCTACGCGTTGGATGCCCGATTTTAAAATATAAATATTTATTTATGTATTTTCATTTATTCACAGTAAAATAGTATAAACAATATTAAAATATTAATATTTATTTATATTTTTTCATGAATTCACATTAAAAATTCACAAATACACAAATTAATTCACATTGAAATAATGCCACTAAATACATATAAACATCAATTATTGTTAAATGTTTTTAATTTAGTTAAGAAATCAAAGCATTAAACACCATTTTTAAACAAATTGGCTTTAAACATGCCCTGTTCAAATGCATCAATTTGTAGACTTCGATGAATTTTCGTACTTGACTTTTTATTTAAAATTTAATTAAATTTATGTATAAGTGATCATTTATATAATCATTTATCATTTAAACTCGGTAAATGTGGTAAGTAAATCTAAAATGCGTGATTAAATTTGAGCACTGAGTAGTAGGTTTGAAACACAGCGAGCTGTAACAATTTTGCAATATTATTACTATCAAAACGTTTCGTACAGATCAATTAATATATAAAAATGTAACTCTAAATTAATTTATTCTTCCCCACCAGTTGAGGAGTCGTCAGAGTTCCTGCCGTCCGTGGACCGAGGGGCGCCACCGCCCCCTGGGGCCCGACACGAGGTGCGCGAGGTGACCAGCCTCCTGCTGGCCCCTCCCCCGGGCCCGCACCTCACCTACACCAACGTCCCCTGGCACCTCAACATACGCAAGGAGGTGAGATATACATACACCTCAACATTACCGGCACCTCAACATTACCGGCACCTCAACATTACCGGCACCTCAACATTNGCACCTCAACATTCTCTACCGGCACCTCAACATTCTCTACCGGCACCTCAACATACTCTACCTGCACCTCAACATTACCGGCACTTCAACCTACTCAATATAAAATAACTTAAAACTTCAATGTAAAACACCTAATACATTGTACACAATTATTTACTTTTGTGTGTCTTCAGCAAAAAATACGCCTTCAATAATACGTCAACATAATAACACTACTATAATACGGCGAAATAATCCGATTGATTTTACTCTGATAAATATGGCACTGGCTTACTTTTTTAACATGTAAAACTTCAGTAAAATAATACGACTTCGTCGTCGTTAATTACGAATTTAAACATTCTGGAAAAATTGCGAATTCTTCATCGTTGTTATCGGTTTCTTCATACTAATTTTATTTGTGTGATTTACATGGTACCATAATGAAGATACAAATATATTGAATATGTTCACAAATATTCATTAACATTTTACGTAGACTTTCTGATGCTCTGATGCTGATATAAAGATTGAGAATTGCCTTAAATTCACAAAGACAGAATAAATGAAAGATTTTTACATGTCACCAGCGAAAATTTTTATTGGATCATATGTAATAATTTAGTTAAATCCAATTTATTTTAATTTAATACCTTTTAAATACTTAAATCTAACACTTAAGATATATTACAATCATCTCATAAAAAAGAAGCATCTCGAAACACAGTATAAAACTGAAATACTAGAAACAAATCAACGTAAAACCGCACACAATTTTTTACATTGCTAGAAGACGTGATCCAAAAAATCGCCTCATCACTTCATGCCCCAGACGTACATCCTAGCAGGATCGTACTAAGCAACGTACTACGGAGGATGTTCTCTCTTGTACTACCGTACTTTGATCTTAATCACCTGCGCTGCTGCGGTCATTACCAGAGTCACGATTATCACCATAACGATGCTCATCAAGATTATCGTTGCCGTTAACACCAACAGAGTACGTAGTTTGTCCACGAATATTTCGGCAGCTTGGATAACTCGTTCGCTCTCGTTCTGAGCCTGTTTAAGAGCTTGATAAGTTCTTATTCCTGTCGTGTTGTCGCTGAGAACTTCAAGAAGGTTCTCAAATTCGGTGAATGAGTGATTGGAATACTGAGTCCAGAATTGATCCGCGATGTCCAAGCTTTATCCAATGGCGAGGCTAGCGTTTGTTTGGCCTTTTTTCAGTTCGGCTGAGAATTGATTATTCAAATCTTCCCAGATTTTTGGGAGCATTTTGTCTATTTTTTCTTATTCTGCAGCTATTTAGTCGAGGATTGGAATTACGTTGTCCATGATTTCTGTGAATAATTGTTAAGCTTTACTCTGAAGATCTCCAATTTTGGCTTCCCTGTTCGTCGTCTCAGCGTCGTGCTACGCTTTAAAATCGACAATAATCTACTAGGCCTGCTGGGCCTTCAATTTCCAGTTATTCAAAATAGTGTTCTTGGACGACGTATCTTTCATATCTACATCAAAATCCTTTAGTCGATCCTACAAATTTGCAGTCACAGTCTACAGGAAAGTATCATTGAAGTTCCGCAGCATTTCCATCGACTCAGCATCCACATCTTGAATTTAGATTTCGTATTCTTTAAGATGCCGAAGAACTTCGTCGATACCAGACCGTGCGTTTTCCACAGACTTTGCAAGATGATCCTTAATTTTCTATGCCGTTACATCGTATCGATCAGTCACGTTGATGAGTGTGTTTGCCGGTAGTAGGAAATCGCCTTAAACGAAACAAGTTTGGCACAGAAGAAATGCCGCGACGAATAAACCTTACTGCAACATTTTAATTCTCCTGAAATGTTTATTTTTTGAGAAGTTCATCAGCTTTGGGATGGAATCGTCCATCGTAGTGTCGTGAGTCCCGCGAAACATTTTTCACTCGCCGGTCATCCTGTAATTTAAGCGGTGCACGTCTTGATGAACAGCAATGCGTATCCACCCTACGCATTCGTGGCAGCTAATTCTTATTTCTGAACTTAAACATCTGCTATTTTACATTCAAATCGAATATTTCTCTTGAACAAATTGGATATGAATTATATATTCGGACTTTCCGGTTGATTTCTCTGACGGATCGGAATATATCAACGAATTAAAATCGATGCTTCGATGACACTGCGATCTTTGGAAATTTTGACCAACAACTTTGCAGAGCCGCGACTTGAAGGCAGTGTCGAAGTTTTTAAACGTAAAATTTCTATAGTCAAATGTATTTATGTAGAATTTCAGTATCAAATTTTTCAAACATCGACCTTTTCAAATATCGAACTTTTCATAGATCGAACTTTTCAAGTATCGACATTTTCAATTATAGAACTTTTCAAATATCGAACTATTCAAGTATTGCATTTTTAAGGTAGGTATTGAATTTTCCAAGTATCGAAATTTTCAAATATCGAAATTTTCAAGTATCGAACTTTTCAAATATCGAACTTTTCAAGTATCGAACTTTCAAACATCGAACTTCAAATATCGAACTTTTAAACTGACAAATTCGAATACTGTTCTTTTCTTCGATCAAATCCAAATATAAAAATTTTCAAATAACAAATTCAAATATGGATCTTTTTAAATGTAAAATTCTAATATCGAACTTTTCAACTATCAAAAAACTTTTCAAATGTCAAATTAAAATTTCGAACTTATCTACCTTTCAAATTCAAATGTCGAACTTTTCACTGCCAAATTCAATCGTCGAAAGTTTTCATAAAAAATAAAACTTTTTCTAAACTTCGGGTGATCTTCCCTGGCGAGACAACTTCAATTATCAAAACTTTTCATTGAAAAAATCGAACTTTTTCCAACTTTAGGTGTTTTTCCCCGGCGAGACAACTTCAATTATCAAAAATTTCATAAAAAAATCGAACTTTTTCCGAACTTCAGGTATTCTTCCCTGGCGAGACCATCTCTGGAGACGCCCTACAGCTGGTCTTCTGCCAGGTGGTGGTTGACACCTACAGCGGCTCCAGCTGCAGGCTCCTGCCCCAACACAGAGCAGAGATGAGAAGGGTGTGTTTATTTCCTATGTCTATGCCTTCAGTTTAATACTAATTCGAATTAATTTCACTTTATCTTTCATAATAAAAATATTATTGATATCAATATATAGTTTTAATATTAATAATAATAATAATAACGATAATAATAACAATAATAATATTATGTCTATTTCCTATGTCAATGCCTTCAGTTTACTACGAATTCGAATTCATTTCACTTTATATTTCATAATAAAAATATTATTAATATCAATATAAAATTTTAATATTAATAATAATACTAATAATAATAATAATGATATTAATAACAATAATAATGCCATTGATATTTCGAATTCACTTCATTTTATTTCTCATGTTTTATATATTTTTTCACATACGGTGACGAAAATTTCTTCTTTTACACCAATGAATGACTTTTAAATTAAGTTACAAATGCATGCAGGGACAGGTATGTTAATATCTTCAATTACTAAATACATTTTTTGCTTTAAACTTTTTTCACATATAATAACATTTTTTTAAACCAAAAACTGACTTATCAGTTACGAAATGCAGGTAGCGAACGGGTGCATAAATGAAATACTATTATTTCTTTATATTAATAGTATATATTATATTAATCAATTCGAAATACTGTTATATAAAATTCATTTATATTTTTCTTTTTTTGTGTCTTGGAACATTCTTTCACAAAAATAGCATCTTTATTCCTTAAATTTCCCATTGATTTTTTGTGTCTTTTGACATTTATACACTGAAATGTAATCTTTTTAACCGATGGCAAACTTTCGATCTCAGATACGAAATGCGTTTCTGTTCTTAATTGTTCTTCTGTTTGAAAATAGTCAAACTTTTTTTGTTGCCTTTTAGTAGAGACAATTATTGACTCAAAGTTAAATATGTTAATAGCAGAACTGAATTTATAGCATGCTGACTGCTGAGTAATTTAATCATACAATCATTAGTAAACATATTATATAAATTTTGTACCAACTTTAAGTAATTATCTTGAAGGCATGACAGACATTTTTACAACATTTTTACAATCTGTTAACCTATTTCTACGATTTATTCAATTTTATCGCTCTTCTCACAGCTGTTGTAAACTATTTGTGAATATATTGGGATTGATTTTTTACATTTTAAAAATACCTTAACTTATTTCTTTAATTAGTTCGATCTCTCCCTGCCCTTACAGGTATTGAAAATTCAATCGTGAATATATTAAACTTGATTTTTTCATTTTCACAATACTTTAACGTATTTTTAGCGCATTTTCTCATTTATGGAAAAAGGGCGCTATTGTGCTCGTCATGTCCGTCCGTCTGTCTGTCCGTCCGTCTGTCTGTCCGTCTGTCTGTCCGTCTGTCTGTCCGTCTGTCTGTCCATCTGCCTGTCCGTCTGTCTGTCCGTCTGTCTATCCGTCTGTCTGTCCGTCTGTCTGTCAGTCCGTGACTTCACGTTTGCGTCGACGAGAAAATTCACTCTCTGTCACTCACTGCAGTGAGTACTGAGTTATATTTTTTAGTACATGGAGTGTTTAATTGAAGAGATGAATTAATATGTATGTAGGATATGTATACGTAGCAATTAAAGTAGGATGTGTATAGCGAGCGTATAAGGATTGTATATCGAATTTTTAGCGCATTTTCTCATTTATGGAAAAATGCACTATTGTGCATTTTGCCATGCTCGTCATGTCCGTCTGTCTGTCTGTCCGTCTGTCTGTCTGTCCGTCTGTCCGTCCGTCTGTCCGTCCGTCTGTCCGTGACCTCAAGTTTTCGTCGACGAGAAAATGCGCTCTCTTCACTCACTGCAGTGAGTACTGAGTTATATTTTTTAATTAATATGTACTATTTTTCATTACCCCCCTACAGGTACTGGACACCCACGGTATCACCCCCAACAACTGCCTGTCGGGGCAGCACTCGCTGTCCCTGCGCAACGAGGTCCTCACGCTCGCTAAGACCTGGCCACTCTACTTCTCTGCTCTCTACCCTGTAGCCGTGAGTCTACCTTCTACTTTAGTGTGTCTACCCTCTACTTTAGTGTGTCTACCTTCTACTTCTCTGCTCTCTACCCTGTAGCCGTGAGTCTACCTTCTACTTTTGTGTGTCTACCTTCTACTTCTCTGCTCTCTACCCTGTAGCCGTGAGTCTACCTTCTACTTTGGTGTGTCTACCTTCTACTTCTCTGCTCTCTACCCTGTAGCCGTGAGTCTACCTTCTACTTTGGTGTGTCTACCTTCTACTTCTCTGCTCTCTACCCTGTAGCCGTGAGTCTACCTTCTACTTTGGTGTGTCTACCTTCTACTTCTCTGCTCTCTACCCTGTAGCCGTGAGTCTACCTT